AGGGTTTTGACTCTGCAGACCGTTTACATGCAGAAAAACCTTCATAACACACAAGCGGACGTGTAATAACCGGAAAAGCATGACATGGGACCTTTAAAGCATGATAATACAAACAGATAGTGGTAGGGAAACAGGAAACCAGTCATAGCCAAACTCCAGATTTCCTTCTATTTTCTGCCTTTTAATCCACATTCCTGCAGGCTTATGTAAGCAGTGAAGTGTGTCAGTATTGTGTGTGTGAGTAGCTGCTAGCGTGTCAATGCTAATACACGGTTTAGACAATTTAGCCTAGTGGTGTGTACTCGGCGTCACTACTTGAGTGTAGCTTTTATTATATCAGCTCAGCTTCATTTACTGCACTAAGGAAGGGGGTTAAGATTGCTGCTCACACACACACACACACACACACACACACACACACACACACACACACACACACACACACACACACACAGTGTTGGTTTTGAGCATCTGGTGCTTGTAATTGCTATGAGCTTTGTTACAGCGCTTTCTCTAACGGTTTACAGCTCACAATTACCGCTTTAACAGTCTCTGCCGTCTTAATCACTCATTTTAATTTAGTTCTTATTTTTAAAGAAAAATGTTCCTTCAATCAGCTGGCAGTGTGTATAAAAATGGTTCCTAGTGTCTGCTGTATACTGCTCTTAAAGGTAGGGTAGGTAAGAATGGAGAAACCAGCTCGAGTGCGCTAGAATTTGAAAGTACGCAGCCGAAATCTGCCCCTTCCTTCAGACTTCCTTACAGAGCCCCTCCTCCAACACACACGAACGCGCACATGACCAATGAGGGCACGAGATAAGTTTGTGCACAGATGGAAGGCTGACAGGCAGGAAGGCTATCCAGTTTCTTTATCGGGCCGGCTCAGATGATTGGTCGTGCTTTTTACAGCGCCACGGCTTCCACAGATTAAATCTTTTTAAATACTTATTGTCAAAGCATTTAATGTATTCATTGCTATCGGGATGTTAAGAGCATTCCATGGGGAAAAAAAGTGTTTCTGAAGTGAATTACCTACCCCACTCTAAATGGCTAAGTGGATAAGTGGCTCTAAATGATCCCCTTATTTAGATTAGAATTAAGGCTCTGCTATGTTGCACACGCTAGCGGATTTGGGATCTGGTGAGACTTTAGATTGGTGGGTAGCTCCACTCACTTTTGATAATTGTGTTGCCTTTTTTATCGTCTTGCAGTCATGTATATATCATGTACACATGCCGTATGTGTGCTAATGAGTTTTAACCTCTGACTTCAATTGAATCTCTTATTTTTCTTGTTATTTTTGAAATTGTTAAAGCACTTTGAGCTGCATCACGTGTATAAAAATGTCTTTCCAAATAAAGCTTTATTCTTTTTTTATTCTTTAAAAACATTTATTATTATCTTTTATATTCTTTTTGTAATACTTTATTTTGAATTGTTCTTTTAGTAACAATAAAGCAAAGACAAACACAATATACAGTAAGTACAGTAGGTACCCGAAACCTTTACATGGCGTACAAGAAAGAAAAAAGCTGGGTATTATATAAACAAAAGGGCCAAGGGTAACCCACTATCTTTTATATTATTATTTCTTTATTTGATATATGTATTATTATGATCATTTCCACTAGTCTGTCCATTGTTCCAATATTTGATTTCCTTGACGGGCCCCTCTCAGTTACGGTTCCCCTGGCGTTGAGTTCACGGGACTCCACAGTGATACCACAGCTGTCACACAGATCCACTTCCTGCCTGGACAGGTGAGCTCTCATTTCCCTGCTTTGTGATCAGAGTAGTGGCTTAAAGTTGTATGAATTTAACATTTACCGTGCCGTGTGACAGGGCCGCCTGCTGTCACTGCTGGACGACAACACGATCCACCTGTGGGAGCTGGTGGGCGGCGCCCCGAGAGAAGTGGGCGGGGTTAAGAAAGAAGGCGTGATCATTCTCCAGGAAGTAGACAGCTACAGCCTCCCAGGAAGACCAGGCATCGAGAGCTGCAGGTAGATAACCTGGCTTAAAAACGTTATTTTTACCACTGTTTTTTTTTGTTGTAATTACATTGTTGTTGGCATTTAGTGTCAAACATTGTCACAGCATATTGTACATTGCATCTTTACATGAATGACATACATCTGTTCATAGTTATTTTCAGCTATGAAACATGAGACAAAAAAACAGATGAGAAAGACATACATGTAATAAAACAAAAGTGAACAATTAGGGAGTAGTCATTTCTTTACAGCAGAGTTATGAATCTGTCAAAACTAAATCAGGCCTATAGGGGATTACCTAGTGAGTCCACTTCCAGAGGGAATTTAACAATGTTTTAATTTTACTTCTGCACTTCTTGAAGAAATATACTTGCAATGTTGATCAAATTTACTGATCTTCTCTCTCTTTATAAAGTTTTCTGTTTCATTTGTTTTGTGTCTTCTGTTAGCCACCCTTGAATTTGTGCTTGAAATCTGCTAAACTAACCTTAACATTGTTAGAGGAACATTACACGTTCATTTACATATGCTGCATTGTTGGAGGAGCTCAGGTCAGAAGAATCTCATTGCCATTCCTACACTGTAGCTTTGTGCATATGACGATAAAACCTTTGAATCGAGATTGCACTTAAAGCATGTGGGTCATTTCATCATTGGAATAATATTCTTTATAATTGGGTGGCTTACATCCCCTCCTCCTCCTCTTCCCTCTCCCTCAGTGCCACCCGGGTGACTGTCCTCCTCTTGCTGAGGTCATGTGACCTGCTGTGCATTGGCACAGAGGGAGGGGGCGTCTACTTCCTGGAGTTGCCCTGCCTGTCACTGAAGGACAACCTCACGCTGCCACAGGACCAGGTCACCCAGAGGTGAGACTGTCCCGTAAATGACTTCAAAGAAAACTGACAGAAAATAAATAAATAAGAGGAATAAGATCAAATAGGGAGCCTAGTAAAGATGGACCCTAGCACGGCAAGTTTATTTATTCAACACTTTTCAACACAAGTCAATTCAAAGTGCTTTTACAAGAGCATAAAACACATTAGAAACATTAAAAAGCAAAGATAATAAAACATGAATATCACAGGTTCATGAATAAAAGTTACAGTGCAGTGTAAGATGTGAATAGTTCAATTAAAAGTAGCGGAAAGTCTTCAGCCTGGATTTAAAAGCAGTCAGTTGCAGCGGACCTGCAGGTTTCTGGTATTGTTCCAGATATTTGATAACACCCCTAACCAAATTCTCACATTCCTCTACCCCTAGTCTTCCCGTGAAACTATAGTTCTAGCATATGTTAAAGTCTAATGCAGTTGTTTTCGGAGTGGCAAATCAGGTGCATATGTTTTGTAAAGTTGATCATTGCATATGTTATAATATTCCAGCTCTTCTTAACATTGCATCTACACATTTAAGTCTTTAATGTAGTTTCTCCCTTTCTCTGCCTATAAGTCTCTTCTTGACTCATTCCCTCCTCTCTGTCCCTGTCACAGTATGTCTCCCTGTAAACATTTAGCACTCCAGTTTCCTCCGCTCACAGCTCCAGCTGAGCAGGTCGGACACACACACAGAAATAAATATCCCCCTTGACCCCAGCAGCAGCAGGCAGGTCGGGGTCATGCGGTTCATGGACCATGAGAACGGCTTCATGTCCTCAACGCTGCTCAGAGAGGAGAGGAAAGGGAGCACATACTGAAATACTCCAAAATTAAATCTTCTGAAATTCAAGTCAGAATCAGGGTTATAGCTAAGTAGTAGTTTACACGTACAAGGAATGTTGGTGTATGATGGTGCATATATAAACAAAGTAGAAAGGCATTGAGTTGTTAAAAAAGAGAACATGTAGAACTGTTATTCTAGAAATATAAAAAAAAAACGTTTTCAAAATTCAAAGAAAATAAATGACAAGACATAGAAATACACAAAAACTTTCCAAAAATACAACAAGAATATGAATATTATTTGTTTAAGAATAGGTGAAAAGCATTGTGGCGTTGCAGAATCCCGGACGAAACATTGGTATTTCCACAGACTTAAGAAAAAAAAATGTGTTTCTGTTATTTTGTCCAGCCCCTCCACATTCTGCAGTGTTGTGTGAACTAGTGTGCAGCCATGTATGAGAGTCAGCAGTGAAGCAGAGCAAGCCACTTCCGATGCATCCTTATCACGTTAATATGCACAGAACTGCATTATCTAAAACAATCCGTATGCAACAAACATGCCCGCTGCAGTGCTTGTTTTATAAATGTTAAATAGACGCCATTTATATAGCAATTTTCCAGTCTTTACTACCCCTCAAAACCCTTTTTACATATCAGTAAAGTACATAAGCTGCCATACCAAGTGCGAAATGCTCAAGGTACACAACAAAAACAAAGCGGATTCTTCGTTCTTCCTCTCTGCATTCCTGTGTAGCTTCACAGAGCCGCTGTCTCTCTCTTTCTGCTGACTGACCGGCCGAACCCCTCATTAACCGGCTTGTTTAGGGTAGTGGGCAGAACTGAGGCCTAACGAGGGCCCTGATAAGAGGGGGTGGGTGGTGTGTGTG